AGTTAGGACATGCACGTGATAAGGAGACAATTAATTTTTGAGTAGCTCGTGAAAAATGAAATCTTCCTTTGTCCCACCTAAGATGAAATTATATTTCCAATTATATATATGATCATTATTATAATATTTTAACCTGAATCTTGACATTTAAAGTGTAAAAGAATTCATGCACTATTAGCTAGATTACCCCAACATGATAATTACAAGTATAAGTATATAAAAAGTGAAATTAGTATATAACCTGAACAATAGCTCCCGTTGGGCCATTGATTTTGGTGTCATTTATTTATTTATTTTTTAAAAACATTGTTTGTTTATGAAATTTGATCATGTCTTTTTGGGGGGAGGGGAATTCAAAAATTTATAAGTTCCAAAAACTGGTTTAGGGAGTTTTTGGGTGAAATTTTTTCTTCCACTCATAAAATTTTAATTTTTTTTCAAATAAAATGCACGTCCAAACACAACTTCGACTTCCAAAAATTATTTTTCAACAAAACTTCAATAACACTTTTTTTAAGTTTCAACCAAATTTGTGTCCAAACTCTAGCTAAGATATGTAATCCTACTGCGACAAGTTTAAAATATACCAAGGGTGACAAAATTCTTTATATTGTGAGTATGCCTAAGTTAAATCTTTTTCTAATATGCACCCGGTGGTGTAAGGGATTAATTAATTACTTATACTCTTGTTCGTTTTGTATATTTTCTTTTCGGTGGATATAAGAAGAAGAAAAACTAGTAGGAAAAGTAGTTAAGATATTGAATGGCTCTTTTTCCTCTGGCCAAGGAAAGGAAAATGCTATATTCACGTGAGAAAGCTATGTCTTAGTATTAATGTTATCGGAGGCTGTGGTCCATTTGCTTGAACCCAGTCCCAAACTGATTCATTCTGTAGATTTAATGAAATTTCTCATCTTGATAGACCCTAGCTATAACTATATCCATTTAAAAAGAATTTTAAAAAAAAAAAAGAGTAAATTACTCTATGGAGAAGATTCCAGAAATTGTATGTTTTGCTTAATTGGAAGTGAACTAAGTTGATCCATACAAATATATGTGTATGTATGTATGTATCTAATCCTCTGATGTGTGGCTATAATTCTATATTTTAGTACATTATTTACCTTACATTTTATGTGCTTTAATGTTAAACTACACTTTATTTGTGCGTAATGGAGTCTATTTTATGTGTAGGTGAATTGGAGATGAAATTAGAGCAATAGGAAGATGTAAAGAATAAAGTGTGCTCGAAAACTGTAGAAAGAAGAAAGAATGAATTAAGCAGTGAAAAGATGAAGAAGCTCGCGAGCCGACCCTTTGATCTCGCGTGGAAGCTGGCGAGGCGAGCCTTTGAGCTCGCGTAGGAGCAGGCGTCGTGAAGGATGAGGTGAGCTCGAGCTCGCGTGGGAGCTGGTGCCGCACGGTGTTAGGCGAGTTTCATCTCGCGTGGAGCCTCGCGAGGCATGGTGCGCGCTTACTCCGGATTTTGAAGGCTTATTCCGTCTCCTGATTTGACTAGGACTTGGCCTATGTCGTTTAGGTCTTTCCCTACACATATAAATAGACATTAAACACCACTTTTGGGAGAGTTTTGCGACCGGAGGCAAGAATAGCTAGTGGAACACTCGTTGGGAGATAGAATCATCGATTTCTACATCCCTTCATCTTTACTTTGTAATTTATTTATGCAAAATACTTGGGATATTGTTATATGAGTATGAGTAGCTAAACTCCTAATCTAGGATTTTGATGGAACCTATTGGAGAGTAATTTTCTTGTTACTTTAATATAGATTTGTCGTAGCTTCTTCTCTATTTGTTCAATTACGTTCATATTGTGGTTGGTTGAAGAGCTCTCAATCGACTGTGCCTATTTAGGGTGTATTACTCGGAAGAGAGTGCATATTTAGGTAGTTATTGAACAACATCACTCCTAACGTATATGAGGGATCAATACAAAGGGTTTAAAGGTGTGATTATGAATAACGAAACCTTGGTGCGATCCGAGTGAGCCGTACTTAGTTTCAGCTAGCGTAATTCAGAAGAATATGTCTAGTAAATTGTGGTAGTTCCTCGGGAGAGAATTACGGCACTCAGAGAGCTCATGATCGGTAGAGAAAACTTAGGCAAATTTATAGAGAACGTAGCGAAAAGGATTCCGACAATAGGGGAAATCATAACCTTAGATCATTCCAAATCTTGTCTACAACTTGTTCGTAGTTAGTTATTAATTACTGCATTTTTATTACGTGATATTTAGTTAGTAAACATCCAATTTGTTATTTAAATATTTTTGAAGATTGATTGCGTGAGTTTGTGCGAGTCTAGTAGTTGTGCTTAATAGGTTAATTTCCTGTGGGATTCGACTCCGGACTTGTTAACCAGAATATATTTGCAACGACCGCTTAGTCCTTTTTATAAGGCATAGTTGGGCGCGATCAAATTTTGACGTCGTTGCCGGGGAATTAACGGTGTTATTAATTGAAGCTAAAAGAAGTGCTAGAATTCTTAGTGTAGTCAATTTTCTTCATTTTAAACTAAATACGTTGAAATTCTAATGTTTGTAGTCTTGGGTGCTGCAGGTGCATGCCTAGAAACTCCTCAAGAACTAGGGGTGGGCATTGTTTGGGCAAACCCGAAATCCAAACCCAAAATTCGAATTTTTTAGATTTTTGGTTTGGATTTTCGGATTACGGATTGGATTTTGGATTTAATTTTTAAATTTTTTGGATTTCGGATTGGATGTTGGATTTGGTGCTTTGGATTTTTGGATATCCGAAAATCCAAAATTTTTATACTTTATATGTAGTCCATTATCTATATGTCAATAATAATAAGTTAAATACCCTATCAATTAGATATTATTTCATATATGTAATATTAATTACTAAGTTACTGTCAGAATACTTTCTATTTGGACATGGTTTTACTATTACTACTTCTTATCGGCCGTATTGATGTCTCTGTTGCATTTTCTTGATAGTAATTTCATTACTTGAATACTTTATTTGGATGATTGCGGTGAGAATGAGTTACTTTTCAGGCAATTTTAATATGAATACTTCATTTGGATATTCATTTTTGTAAAAAGAAGAAACAAGTCAACTTATAAGCTCAAAACCGAAAATCCAAAATATCCAACCCGATTAATCCGAAACCGAACTTAAAAGATCTGCAATCCGACCTTATTTGGATTGGATTTGGATTGTCATTTATTCAATCCGAAAACGGAAAATTCAAACCGAAATTCTATATTTAATCCGAACTGCCCGAATGCCCAGCCCTATCAAGAACTGGTGAATTGTTTGAAGCATTATCAGATCCTGAGAAAGTTTTCAAGGCACTGAATCGTGCAAACAAGAAGGGCAAACAACAACAGAACCCAATAGAACAAATCAAACCAAACATGGATGACGGAATAGAAAATCCAAACAACAGAAACAATGCGAATGACCCGAACAATCAGGGTGTAGTGCCTCTTGTGCTAGAAGCAGCATTGTATGATTGGGCACAACCTACCACCGAAAATCTGGCAGCCGCAATTGCAGTCCCTTAGATACAAGCGGAATCATTTCAAATCACAAACAATATGCTACATTTGTTGTAGAACAAGGGACTGTTCTCAAGGTCTTACATTGAAGATCCTCAGCGGCATCTAAAAAATTTCCTATCGATATGTGTCACGCAAAGGCAACCTAATCTGACACCGGAGGCAATAAAGCTGTTATTGTTTCCATTCTCGATGACGGGAGAGGCTCAAACTTGGCTTAATTCACTCCCCATAAACTCCATCACTACTTGAGAGGAATTAGTCAACCAATTTGTGAACAAGTTCTACCCACCCAATAAGACTGCCAAACAAATTGATGAGATATTGAGCTTCAAGCAGAGACCAATAGAAACATTACAAGAAACGTGGGAGAGGTTCAAGGGTATGCTGGTTAAGTGTCCACATCATGGCATTTCAGAGCAGATGTTGGGGCAGAGGTTCTACATGGGATTGGCAGACAGCTTAAAGGCCAATGTTGATGCTTCAGCAGGTGGAGCATTTTTTAGCAAATCATTCAGAGAATGTAAGATCCTACTTGATAAAATGGCTCAAAACTCAGGATGGATGACAAGGGACTCTACGATCACTCCTGTAGTTCACTCAGTGGCTTTGAACCCAAACAACTCCATAGGCGAAAATATGGCCACTCTAATGATGCAAATGAGTATCCTCACCAAAAAGATCGATGAATCAGGCCAGAAGCAACAGGTACACATAGTTGACGCGACTAATGAGGGTTTATGTACTCCATGCATTAACCAACCATATGTATGCTCTTGGAGTGCGAAAAGTGACAACCAGCACTATCAGGAAGATATGAATTATGTGGCCAACTAAAGAGGACAGAGGCAAGATGGTTAGAATTGGGGGCAACAGAATCAACAATATAGACCACACAGCAGCAGTACAATAACAGCAGCAATCCTAGAGCTATGCGACCACATGGTCAAGTTGTGCCTCACCAAAGGCAACAGGGATACAACCAGCAAAATCAGTAGTTAGCTTATCAACAGCCTCAACAACAACAGATAGTGAGACAAGATGATGGGTTGTCTGAAATTAAGGGAATGCTGCAACAACCGATTGGGTCCAGTGGCAAAATGCAAGAGAGAGTGGACTCACATGAATCGGCGATAAAAGGCATTGAGGTTCAATTAGGACAGATATCAATGGCTCTGAATAATCGCCCCCAAGGGACGTTACCTGCAGACACACAAGTCAATCCAAAAGAGCAGGGCCCGAAACAGCTTATGGCAGCGAGTCTAAGAAATGGTAGAGACCTAGACCTAGAGCAAGAAATTGCTCGCGAAAGCCGACTAACTGAAACACTTGTTCCAGTACCCATTGAGGTAGATGATTCAATAGGGTTAACTGAGGTAACGATACAACATGCACAAGATAGCACGAGCAAAGAAAAAGAGGTTGCGAAGGAAACTAAGGTAGCATAAGAAATGACAATAGAAGCAGTGCCTGAGCAGGATAAAACTCAAATCACAGGAAGGAAGCGACCTCCAGCACCATTCCCACAGAGATTGGCCAAATATCAAAAGGATGAGCAATATAAGAAATTCATGGAGATGGTGAAACAAATCCAGGCGAACATTCCACTGATTGATGCCTTGAAGGAGATGCCCGGTTATGCAAAAATGATGAAGGACTTGATGTCTTGTAAGTTCGATTTTCAAGACTTGGCCACTGTTACACTGACTCAGACATGTAGTGTTGTTGTGACGAGACCCATAGCTGAGAAGTTGTCCGACCCAGGAAGTTTCACAATCCCATGCACAATAGGCAACTATGCTTTTGCTAAAGCATTGTGTGATTTAGGGGCAAGCATAAACTTGATGCCCTTGGTTATCTACAAAAGGTTAGGCATTGGAAGAGCAAGACCCACATCCATGTTACTACAACTAGCCAACCGGACAGTGAAGAGGCCATCAGGTATCCTTGATGATGTACTAGTGCAGGTTGGAAAGTTTGTGTTTCCAGCGGATTTTGTCATTCTGGACTGCCGGGTTGACGAGGAGATTCCCACAATTTTGGGAAGACCATTCTTGGAAACTGGGAGAGATCTAATTGATTGTGAAACTGGAGAGCTAAAAATGAGACTGAATGATTAAGAGATAACATTCAATGTGCAGAAGTCTATGCTGCGACCAAGTGAATTTGCTAACTGCTCTCTAGTAGAAGCTGTGGATGTAATTTTGGAGGAGGAAGATGAGACTCTAAACACTAAAGACCCTCTAACAGCCTGTCTCATGAACTTAGAAGAAGTAAATGGAGAGGACTTGGCGGAGTGGGTACTGATTCTTGAAGGCCAAGGGTTTTGGAAAAGAGAGCTCGAATTTGAGTCTTTGCACTTAGAAGAAAGAAAGACTCCTCCAGCTAAGCCATTGATCGAAGAGCCACCACAGTTGGAACTGAAACCACTACCACCTCATCTCAGGTATGCTTTCTTAGGACCTAACTCAACTTTACCTGTTATTATCTCATCTTGTTTGCAAGCCGTTGGTAATTTTTCCCTCATATTTCTAAAATACATATATCCACTTTCAAAATAGTTCATATGCATCATCATTTAGTTTATAAGCATACACAAGCATTTTTCATAATTTTTCATAATTTTTAAAGGCTTTAAATCAATTTATTTATACACTTTTATTATATAAATATTCAATAATTATCCTTCAAATCATTTTATGATGATCTAATCATCTAAACTTGTCATTTACACCAATATGAGGTCTTAAAAATTTTCAGTGCATCTCTTATAATTACATATGCATTTTTTAAGGCTATATTGCATATTTTTGCAATAATAGTCCATATGCATATAATTATATTATTTATATAGAAAATGACCTTTTATATTTTTTATAATTTCAAGTAATTATTTTTAATCATTTCTATGCACAAATGATATTTTGTTATTTATTTATTACTTTTATAAATTATTTATTTGATTAAAATTGGGTATTTACAATCTGGCCCTAATTTCATCCTTATTTCGGACCTAACTACCCAGACCTTGGCCCAATAACCCTCATACCAATCCTAAAAGACCCAACCCAGTCCAAAAGCGACCCAACCCTTTCTCAAATCCCAACCGTTGATCAGAAATGATCAACGGCTCACAAAGCCTCCCCCTTTTTCCTTATATCACTCAACCCCAAACCCTAACCTCATTCCCTCCAAACCCGCCGCCTCTCTATTCTCTCCTCTCTGAAGAACCCTAACCCGCCGCCTCTAAAAAACTCCTTTCCTAATCCCTCTTCTAATGGGATTTTCTTCCCATTCACTTACCATATCCGTATATTTCCATTACTGGGTGATTCTCTACGGTATTACCTAGTACTTGCCTAAACATGGCAAGTACTCTTACTTTGATTCTGTCCGATTGACTTCATCTCTTGGCAAGTACTCTTACTTTGATTCTGTCCGATTGACTTCATCTCTTGAATCTGGACGAAATTGCATCCATACACGTTTATTCTACATCGTGTGAGTCTGATTTGTTCATATTTTGCTGATTCGTATTTAACCCTAAAGCTAGGGTTTACATATTTCATTTGATTCGAACCAAATTGGTTCAAGCCTTTGATTTTAATGTACTATCTCTTCTATATTCGCCCTATTTTGTGTAAATTTATTTATTTCTGTCGATTTTTTTACTTACCCTAAATTAGGGTTTCAGTTTCTTTTAAATCGAACCAAATCTGGTTCGATTCTTTGATTTTGATTAGTATTCCTGTCTATGTTCATCTTATTTTTTTTTAATCAATCCACTAGGCATTGCCTAGGGCTGTTTTTATATATATAAAATAAAAAGCAAAACAAATTGTTCAATGGTCTAGCATGACAAAAGAAATAAAATTTGAAACATACATAGAACCTATTATCAAAATTGAGTAGAGTACTCAAAATTTATATCACAAAATTACTACTAAAAATTGTATACTAAAAAATAGCCCATGCAAACAGAATGCACTTGCTGCCCGCATCCAGTGACCCAATTGACATCAAATAAGCCCAAAACAGCGTTCCATATTGCTTGCATATATGGCCACATTCCGTCCAATTATGCACCAGCTCCTTAAATTGCAAATGTAACCTTTTTTCTTGCATCCTTGTCTCTATACACGTGTTGTTTCCATTTTTGTTCTTCATTGTTGTATGTATTCCTGTAATAACACTCATTTTATCCGTTTGCTCACAACTGTATCTAGCATAGATCTTAACGATTGCCCAAGCGTCCTCTTTGAAGCTCATTTTTACTCCATCTTTGCTAACTTCCTTGTTTGAATCACTACTATGTTGCCCCATGTTCTCCTTAGACCAGCTGATATGAATTGCTACCTATGATACCTTTGCGTCTAAAGATATTCCTGTTCGATCTTGTGTACTGCCTGTGCTATGATGGTAGAGATTGGGTTGCCTAGCTCTGTATGTGCTGCTACTGACCAGTTGCCTGCCCTGATTTGCATCATTTGTGTTGCATGTTGATGATCCAGTCGAAATTGCTGCATTACTGCTCAGATTTCTTTGCCAAGACCAGTGAATCTTGCAGATTACTATTAGCATAAAGATCTTCACCTCCTCATCTTGTTGTATTTTTTGTTTTTTTACTGATTTCTGTTCTTTTTGAGGATAATGAATCCTCAGGTATGCCTGATTCCCTGTATGTTTTGAGTTGTATCCCTTCTTATGCTTGATTGCTTTTTCCCACAGGTGCATCATCCAGCTGAGTTCCCTTTTGTCTGAAGGGAATTTTGCTGTCTGCAGGTTGTGTGCCTTTGTGACCTCATAGGTTTATTTGTTTTCTTTTTTTGTTTGTTGTTGTTGCCCTTTTACTGTGATTATTACTCTGTTCTGAGGTCGAGTGCTTCCACTCTTGGACATAAATTGCTCTCCTCTGGTAGTTATCATGCTTGTGCCTTCCCTTGTTTCCCTCTCCTTGGATTGAGTACATAGTACTGATACCACCAAGTGAGAGTTATTCAAGGGGAAGGGAATGACCACAGTAACATTCCCTGCAAAAAAGAAAACTAGGTTAGTATAAACCATAATCATCATACTCTTCTCCCTAAGGATTTGAGTAGGATAATCGAATAGAGATCCAGATTTCCTCCTGCTCCTGTTACTACATTCCTCTTCTCCTCCTAATTTCTTGCAACCTTTACTCTGATGTATGGGCATTGGAATTTATCACTATTCACAATTTTCCTCCCTTGGACATCCAAATCTCCAAATCCATTACACTCCATAGGGCCAATATCCAGAGCATAGTTGGCAATATGATCTGCCAATTGGTTTCCTTCCCTCAATGTATGAGAAATCTTGAGATTGCATCTTTGCATCAGCTCCCTTATTTCCTCTACTTCTACTACCACAGCCCATGGTGCATTCTAATCACCTGTTAATATGTTCTTTACTAACTTTGAATCTGTGTGCAAATCAATTAGAATATAATCATGTTCAACACAGTATTTTAGAGCTTCTAATATAACTTTCATCTCAGCTTCTGTATTTGTACCCTCCTGTATCTCTTTCCCATATGCATAGACTATATTTCCTTCCTCATTCCTCAGAACATAGCCTATGGAGCTTCTGCCTGGATTACCCCTAGAGGCTCCATCAGTGTTAACCTTTATCCAACCTTCCTCAGGTAGCTTCCACAACACCTTAGTGTATTTTAGCTTAGGTGTGTATTGCTCTAGAAGTTGCAGTAAATCTGGCCATTTATGTGGAACATTTTTCAAACTTGGCTTTCTGTATTTTACCAAGTATTGAAGAGTGGTTGATACCTGATATATGACCCTATTCCCTATGACTGCATCCCCATATTTGTATGAGTTTCTCCTCTTCCATAACTCCCATACTATGATAGATGGTAATGCCTGCAAGACTGACTGTATTCTTGGTATCACCTGTGCAGTCCAACACTTCACCACTGCTTGGTGAAATGTTATCCCTTCTATATTGATTCCTGCAGCTGAAAGAAAATATTTCCACACCTTTTTGGCAGTATAAGAAGAGAAAAACACATGAGTGATTGTTTCTTCCTGTGGTAAAACACAACACCAGCATCTAGAAGCCATAAGGTATCCTATTCTCCTGAAAAACTCATCTAGAGGTACTTTATTCTTCCAGATCTTCCACATGAAGAATGATATTTTAAAAGGTAAACCTTTCACCCAAATCATCTTATAAGCTCTACAAGGTTTCTTCCTTTTCCTGATGTAATCCCAGGCTGACTTCACACTAAATTCACCTCTTGTTTCCAGCATCCAAAAAGGTTTGTCCAGTACCATATTTTCTCCTGGAGGTTTGATGTTCTGCACTATATGATTAGCTAAATCCTCAGGCAATAGGTCCCTTAATTTCTGCTCATTCCATCTCCTCCCAGTCATCACTTCATGAACATTTTGAACTCATTCATCACAGAAAAACTCAGGTGGTGTAATGAAGTATAGGGCCCCCAAACCTGTCCAGTTTTCAAACCAAAAAAGTGCAGATCCCATTTTAGTCTGCCACAGTATTTGGTGCTCAATACAATCTCTACACTCTAGCATTTTTCTCCAAATATGAGAGCCCTTCCTCCATGGAACAATGATAGGATTAAGTTTTTTTGCAGTATTTTTGACTCATGAAGGAACTCCAAAGAGATGGTTTTGTTCTGAAATTCCACCATAACTTACAAAAGAGTGCCTTAGAGACATCATGTAGGGATCTAAAACCAATTCCCCCTTCTTCTTGTGGTAGGCATAAGGTATCCCATGAAGCCCAATGTCTACTGCCTCCTTCAATTGAACTACTCCAGAAAAATCTTGCCATTAATTTGTGCAACTTCTTGATAACAAATGCTGGTGCATTAACAGCTGAAAGCAGATGAATAGGCATACTCTGAACATCTTATTCTATACAACATGTGATTCTTTTTTCTTTTATTTCTGCCGATTTGTGTATTTTACCCAAAAATTAGGGTTTTAAATCTTTTCCTTCCTTACTGATTTTAAATGCTTTCCTTTCCAGTGTTTGACTAATTATTTCCATATTTATGTGTTCAATTCCTACACTATATAAACCCCACCCCATTCCCCTTTGAAACAGTTGGAAAATC